GGGGGGGGGGGGGGGGTGTGTTGTGGGCGTGTGTGTGTGTGGGTGGTGTGTCGATGGCGTGTGTGTATGTGTGTGTGTGTGCCGCGCGCGCGGTGTGTGTGTCTGGTGTGCGTCTTGTGTGGTCGTGTGCGCGGTGCTGTGTGCGTGTGTATGTGCATATTGTGCGTGCTGTTGTTGTGTGTGAGCTCTGTGTGTGGCGGTGTGTGTATTGTGTGGTTAGTGGCGCGCGGTGTGTGTGTGTGTGTTGCGCGCGCATGTGTTTGCGTGTGTGGTGTGTGGGTGGTGTGTCGTGTGCTGTGTGTGTGTGTGTGCCAAAATAAGTGCCTGTGTGTGTGCGGTGTCGCGCGCGCGTGTGATGTGCTGTGTGTAGTACCGCGCGTGGAAGTCCGCTTGTGCAAGCTTGCGCGCTTCAGGGCTGCTGCCTGCCTTTCGTCGCTGCCACCAACACTCCCTCGGCTGCGCGCGAACATCCCTCGCCCTCGTAGCGCGCGCGGCACGTGCGCCATGCGCGCGAACATCTCGCCCTCGTAGCGCGCGGCGGGCAGTGCGCATGCGGCGCGACCTCTGCCACCATGCCGGCTGTCATTATACATGTCACGAGCGGGTAATTTCCTGACACCGACACGAATGCTTGCGCCTTTAGGTGTTGATCAAAACAGTAGAGGCCGTCCGATAGGCTGGCAGGCCTGAATAAGCATCGAAACAGATATTAATTAAAATACTCACACTGTTACTTCGCTACGCACAACATACACTTTATTCATGTAAATTAACTACAGATTCATGCTCTAGCCTGCTCCGCTCGAAACTTTTGCCAGCTCTATGATCGCGAGATTTCTCTGCAAGTCTGTCTGGCACACACTTTCATACACAAAATAACAACGAACGGCTCGCTCTGACTACGCACCTGACGCGAATCTCACGAATACAACAACAAAAATAATTTTTACTTCTAAATGCTTTTCTCACACGTACACTGAGTGCATTTCAACTTGCGTGCACAATGCTAATTATTGACTCTAGTGCCCGAATTTCGGCCGGTGAAAAAAATGCCAAAAAGGCGCTTTTCTAGAGAACGAGAGTAGTGCACACGTGAACAATTCTCGAGGCCTTTACTGATTATTAATCCCCTCCTTAAAACGAGCAGAAAGACGAGACGTATCGACTTGAGGGAATTTTAGGATTGAAGATTTCGACGCCTTTTCCTTATACGGGTATCGAATTTCAAAGGTGGCATAACTCCAACGAGCTGAGATATCGCTCTCGGAAAAGAGCCCCCAAACACAGAAGAAAATCAATGTTCGCTTCATGACGGTTATGCGTAGTGTTATGAACGCAGGCGTTAGGGTAAAATGCATAAGCATTAAAGTTAAGATAATTTTTACACTGTTTAGGGGTTAGTAGTGCGACAATTAGAGTAAAAGAAAATAAGTTATCATATTTTTTTGGACACGCAAATGTGTCGTAAAAATTAGTGTATTTTTATGCCTAAATACATGCAAATAATGTACACGGATATGTTACATGTTTACTAAAAAAACATGTATAAAATGTTATTTGAGCATGCATGTGACTAAACAACTGGACTGAGAGCACTAGCATACACGATTTTCATTCACCATAAAAAGCTCAAATTATTCGACTCCTTTGGCAAAAAGCGCACTCTTTAACAATGTGGCTTTTAAGGTGTTGCAATCAACAGTAGAGGGCCGTCGCATAAGCCGTGCAGGCCTGAATAAGCATCGAACAGATATTAAATTAAAAAATACTCACACTTGTTTACTTTTCGCTTACACAATCATACACTTTATTCATGTTAAATAAGCTACAGAGTTCATGCCTCTATGGCTCCGCTCGAAACTTTTGCCAGCTCTCATGATGCGAATTTCTGGCAAGTTTGCTGGACACAGTTTCATAGACAAAAACACGAACCGGTCGCTCTGACTTACGCCACCTGAACGGATCTCACGAATACAAAACAAAAATTAATGTTTTACTTCTAATGCTTTCTCTCCACGTCCACGAGGCATCCAACTTGCGTGCTACAAGTTGCCTAATTAATTGCACTCTAGCTGCCGGAATTTTCGGCCGGAAAAAAATTCGCCAAAAAAGGCCGTTTTCTAGAGACGAAAGTAGTGTGCAAACGGTGAACAATCTCGGAGCGGCTTACTGTTATACGCCTCCTTATACTCGGCGTATATTAATAGTGCAGTGAATGCACGTGAATGCGCATTCGTCCATATGAAATTCTTTTTTATTAAAACACCTCAAAGCCGAGGCGGCGGGTGGCGGTGGCGCGGGGGACGCATGACGGATGCGATACCGTCGTCCGACTATAGTTTGACATAGTTCGCCACCGCAGCGAGCGTGATCAATGTTCAGTGGATGGCCTGTATTTGTGCACAGCACGCTATGACGTCTAATAGGATAGCGATCTGTGTAGGCGAGTTCACGGGAATGACGTATTCGTATATAGCCGCCCGAACGCGAGGCGCCCATAGAAAAACCAGATTTGCGCGAATGAGGAATCGGAATGGAGGGAAGTAGTGGCTGGCGAGAAGCGAAGGCAGAAGAATTCCTTGTACGCGATCAACTAATTGATGGCGTACGAGGGCGCAGCGGCTGCTGCATGCGTCTTTTGTTTATAGTTCGGCCCGCATGTTTTAATCACCGTGGCCATCTGTGTTTGCGCTGGCTGATGATCTTCGTGTCGAGGTTTTGTCATGCAGCATCGATGCTTCCCCATTATATGACTCTGCACCTAAATTTCTGATTGTCTACTAAGCCAACTCTCAACCGCCACAGCACGCACGCGCGTACAGCACGCACACATGCACTACCGTATACGGAGTACCTACCCACGCGCATGCGGAAAGACACACAACACACACAACATCACACACACATACACACACAACACACACACAAACACACACAAACACACACACAAACAACACAAACACACACAATCTACACACACACACACACACACGACACACACACACACACGACACACACACACACACACACACACACACACACACACACACACACACACACACACACACACACACACACATGATCGGCCCTGGAGTCACCGTCAGCGGCCGATCCTGTGACGGCATCTATTTGTGGGAGGCAACAAGCGACCGTCTGAGAGCGCTGACGTCTTTTGGGTTCCCGCTGCCAAAATCTGGGAAGCATTATCTCGTCTCTGCGAACATTGCAGCTCATTTACGCCCGACCGCAGGCCGACCGTCGGTCTGACCTGTACTGTATGGTCACACGGGCAGCTCACAAACACACGTATATAATGCGCAATCCCGCTTCTCATATAAAGAAATGAGCAAAGAAATGAGAAGATACAGGGCGAAATAATATGAAGTAATATAAAAAGAAAACGCAAATGATCGATAATGAAATAATTAATTAAATGAATGAATGAATGAATGAATAAATGAGTAAATAAATGAGTGAATAAAACAGATTAATAAATACACACATAATAATTATAAACACAGTAATAAATAAATAAATAAATAAATAAATATATAAGTAAAGTAAATAAATAAATAAATAAATAAATAAATATATAAATAAATAAATAAAAAATTTAATGAATTCATTAATTAATTAAAGAGAGGAAAACCTCGTAGGTACGCAGGCATCTGGTAATGAAGCATCGTCCAACACGATGGCTCATCATAGCAGAAACTCATCATGGAGATCAAACCCGACTCTCCCCCCCCCCCTCTCGCTAGCACCCGTACGAATAATATAAATAATAACAATTCGACATACTCCGTCTTCCCTCCAACCTTCTCCCGAGCATCTTCCTCTCTCCCCCCCACACAGGCTACCGCCATTCATGACCTGCTCGATACCATAACCAGATACAGTGATGGCGTTCGCGCTAGAGCTCGGTGAAGGGTCCTCGTA